GACCCAGGGCCTCCCGGGCAGCAGGCCGCTCGGGGCGGTGGGCATGTCTCTGCTCGGAGTCCCATGTCCGTCTCGATCTACTGCGGGATGACGACTAATTAAAAATTTTGCGATTGGAAAGAACGATAAAAAACATAGCTTCTGCGATTTCTGCACAATTTTCTGACTGGAGGAGAACGATTAAACAAATAGTGTTCCAGCCCGGGGCCGGTTTTTCCTAATCGTCACCTTGGGCACCGCCGCGCGAACACGACCCCCGGTCATTTATTAGCCGTCATCCTCCATTATAGGGAGACGAACAGTGACATAAACATCAAAACTCGGAGGTCCGCGCGGATTTCTCGGATCGGCGCCGGGGCCCCCCAGCGGCGCCTCCGGCGCCGCCCCAAGCGCGCTCCGCGCGCCAGGGAGGGGGGGTCCGGCGCCGATCCGAAAAATCCGCGCGGACCTCCGAGTTTTTATGTTTATGTCATTGTTCGTTCCCCTAATCTAGCAAAGGCTGTACTTTCGCCTGCCAAGCGGGTGTCGACCCGGAGTGTTCCACAGTTCCGTTCGCGCCTGGATCGTGGGGACCTCCAAGCTTGCCCTCGCTCGGACGTCCGTTTGCTCGGTTTCGTACGTGCACTGTTTCGCAGGATGGCCCAAACTGCTCCTCGATGGGTTTCGCTGAGATGACGCGCACACGTCCGAGCGATGCCAAGTAAAGCGCAAAGCTGGTTTGAGGCGTCCGGAGGCCCGAACTTGGCTTCCACGACACGGAAAAAAAGACAAACCATCCGCCTCGATTCTCCGATGTACCAGATGCCTGGGCCCCCTGTCTCACGACGAGGGCAGGATGAAAGCAAGTCCGGATGAGGACAAATCGCAAGAAACTCTGAGCGCTGGCAAATCTGGAGAATGCACCGGGCGCCGCGGCCGTTCTACAACGTGCCGGAACACTCTGGAGCGAATCCCCCCCATCCCGGGCCTGCCTGACTCCTCCTTCTCCCTCCCCCTCCTCCCCCTCCTCGTCGACCCCTCCTCCTCCCCCTCCCCCCCTCCCTCCTCCTCCTCCTACTCCTCCTCCTCCTCCTCCTGCTCCTCCTCCTGCTCCTCCTCCTCCTCCTCCTCCTCCTCCTCGTCCTCCTCCACCCTCCTCGTCGCCGACATGCCTCGCATGGGCATGTCCTACGCCGCAGGCGCCTACACGCCACCACCTTGCCGGGCCATAGCCCACCTGGGCAGCGGCACGGTGTGCACGCGCGCCCCCCTGGCGCCTCGGCCGGGAGGGCGCATCTGTACACGCCTTGCCGAGCCCGAGGAGGGTTGCCCTGGCTTGGCGTGGAGGTGAAGCACGGCTGCCTTCTGAGGGAGGTGCCCTCCCCGAAATGCGGCCAGTACTCCCTCGCTCGGCGGCGTAAATCCGCGAATTCCTGTGGAAACGGGACCCGTCGCTAATCCACGCCCCTTTGGCCCATGTTTGCGATCGCCTGATAATAACAAGCGTGGGAGAGTATTCCCCCGACGGAAGTCAACCTCGCCTCGTTGTCGCGACGCGACGGGGGTCGGAGCGCCTTCGGCGCGCGGTGTCTGCCCGCGACGAGGGTCGATGTGGGCGGGAGTGACGCCCCTGCGACGCCACTTAGAAACTCGGAGTGGGGAACACTCCCCCGCCGCCCAGAACTCGAAGCTGGCGCGCGCGGGGAAGACTGCGGCCGAAGTGCAACTCATCCAGCCCACCGCCAACATTGATCTTTGGGGGGCGCATTGGCAAATTCAGGGGGACGTAAGACCCGGGCACAGGGGACTCGGAAATCCCCGACGAGGTCGTCAAAAAAATGGCGAGGCCGAGCCTGCATTTTGACGAGGCCTCCCGCTGCAGACATCCCACGAAACTCCTACTCGTCAAAATCCGAGTCGCGGTCGCCAAAAAACAATGGCGAACCCGAGTCCTGGCAAACCCGGGTCTTACGCTCCCCCGACAGATGAGTGTGGCATGACTGTTCCCTAACTTCTTCCCGGGCCTGTCGCTCGGACGTCCGTTCCCCGTGTCTGCTTCGGCCGCACGGTGACCCCCCAAGATGCTCCCCGATGGCCCTTGCCGACAAAACAAGCACACAGACACAGACACAGACACAGACACAGACGCAGACACAGACACAGACACACAGACACACGCACACACACACACACACTCCTAAGTCAAGACATCGGAGGTCTGGGAACCGTGCACTCCGTGGCAGACCCAGACGTCCGACGTCTTGACGTTTTCAATGCGCGGCCCCTGGACCCCTCGACCACTTCCCGGGGGCCGTCTTTTCATCCCGGGTAGTTTTTTGACGGCCCCGGGGCCCGTTGAGGGCCCCCAGCGCCCGCAAACTGCCAAAAACCTCTGTCTCGATTTGTTCGAGACGTCGGAGATCGGCCGAAATCGACTCCGAATCCATCCCGGCGGCGGCGACGTGAGCGACAGCGGCGGCCGAGACGAGGCGCGCGCACGCGCGGCGCGCGGCGCCGGCCCCCGGGCCGCGGCCGCTGCCGCCCGCCCCGCACAGCTTCGCGCGCCGCCCTGGCTCGGGCCTCTGAAGCGGCAGGGCCGCGCGCGCGCGCGCGGCTCGGCTCGGCTCGGCTCGGCCGCCGCCGTCGTCGTCCGTCGCCGCCGCCGCCGCCGTCGTCGTCGTCCGTCGTCGTCCGTCGTCGTCGTCGTCGTCGTCGTCGTCGTCGTCGTCGTCGTCGTCGTCGTCGTCGTCGTCGTCGTCGTCGTCGTCGTCGTCGTCGTCGTCGTCGTCGTCCTCCGTCGTCCGTCGTCCGTCGTCCGTCGTCGTCGTCGTCGTCGTCGTCGTCGTCGTCGTCGTCGTCGTCGTCGGCCGGGCTCGGCCGTCGCCGCGGCCGCGCCGACTCAGGTCTGTTCCAGGAGGGGAGCGTCCAAGAGGAGAGTTCGCAGATCAGGGCCCGAGGCGCGTGCGCGGCCGAGAAGGGGCTAGGGGAACGGTAAAGACAGCAAAAGGGGTGAGGGCGATGAGATCTGGGAAGATCTCACGGCCCCAGCCGTGATATCCACCTCCTCGTCGCCCCTCCCCGCTCCTCGAACCATTTCCGCTCCCGGAGCTCCCAAGAGGCCCCCGACCCCACCTTCAATTATCGATTTCGCGTCCTCCACTCCGCCTCACCCTCCCCGCCTCGCCTCCTCCTCCTCCTCCTTCTTCTCCTCCTCCTCCACAAGAAAAACAAGGGGTCGGCGGATGTGGCGTAAGCCTATAGAATCTATCACATTTCTCTCGAGGGCGCCAGAGCCTTCGCCGCCGGCGGGCGCGTGCGCGTCCCAACCTGAGATCCGCGACCTCCGACAAGTGAGGAGGGTCGGGGAGTCAGAACAAACTCCAGGGATGAAAAGGAGCGACCCTAGAAACTAAAGCCATGCACGTGCGTGACTGAATCTCGGACGCTGGACAGCATCTGACCGATGATGCGGCTGCCAGGGACATTCCTCGTGATGCGGCCGAGCCTGTTCGAAAGCGTGAACGCGCAACGTCCACCTGGACACCTGCAACGTGTATTTACCTCTCGCCTTGGTGAACTGTCCGCCAATTAACATTCGTTCGGAGAAGGCGAAACGGTTGCGTCGGACAATTATGACGCTGCCCTTTGCCACGACAGCCAAACCAGACCAGCTTCATGTCTGGGCACATCATATTGGCTTGGCCGTGTTGAAACTTCGGTACCTGTTTGTTGGTTTTCTCAATCGTTTCTCGCTCCAAATCTGTGCAATCTCCGCAAGAACCGCTTCAGTGCAAGCACTGGGAACATCGTCCCCAACCCATACTTTTTTCAATCATGACTTTCACAGGATCGTTTGTCGGTCCTGACCAGTCCAAGAGGCCCACAAGATCGCCCCCTGAGGGGCCTCGACCTCCCGAGAAGAGCTAAAGAGGCACCCAAGAGGGACCCCTGAGGCCGCCAGCAGGTCGCCAAGAGGCGCCCCGACAGCCCCTGGAGAATTGCAAGAGGTCGCGAGAGGCTCGCACTTGACCCCCCAAATGTCCCCAAGAGGCTCCCAAGACGCCTCCCAAGAGACCCAAGGAGGCCTCCAAGGAACCGCCTGTTCACGACCCAGGCACGGTGGTGGGATGGGCAGGCTTGAAAGCAAATCTGGGCTTCGCCCAGCCTCTCTCAGGTACAAATGCCAGTTGGCCGGACTTCGACCAGCGGCGCGCGAACTTTCTGGCCAGGGTCTTCCAGAGGCTCTCGTCCCCACAAGCCCCGCCCAACAGCAGCGGCTCTCACTCCCTCGCCTTCAAGTGGAGCGAGCTCGCGCACCGGGAGCAGCTGGAGGTAAATCCTGCTCACAAGGTCCCACTCCTCATCTTCTCTCTCCTCCTCCTCTTCCTCCTCCTCCTCCTCCTCCTCCTCTTCCTCCTCCTCCTCCTCCTCCTCCTCCTCCTCCTCCTCGTCCTCCTCGTCCACCTCCTCCTCTCCTCCTCCTCCTCCTCCTCGTCCTCCTCGTCCTCCTCGTCCACCTCCTCCTCCTCCTCCTCCTCCTCCTCCTCCTCCTCCTCCTCCTCCTCTCCTCCTCCTCCTGGCAGGAACGGCTGGGCCAAGCGGGATCGGCGAGCCTGATGTGTACGGGGCGAATGGAGGGCAGCCTGGCCCTCAGTCCCTCGTCCGCCTCAACCACTCCTCGGGCTCCCCCCTCCTCGATCCCTCGATCCGTCGATGTCACGATCCGTCGCCCCCAGGCGACCCAGGCCCGTTCCATCGATGCGATCTGCTGGTTCGGTCCTTTCTAGTGGATGCTCTGGATTGACCGGGGAGGAGGAGGAGGAGGAGGAGGAGGAGGAGGAGGAGGAGGAGGAGGAGGAGGAGGAGGAGCAGGAGGAGGAGGAGGAGGAGGAGGAGGAGGAGGAGGAGGAGGAGGAGGAGGCGGAGGAGGAGGAGGAGGACCCCTCCCCCCTCCTCGCTCTCTCCTTCTGGGCTTCCCCCCTTCGCTCTCGGCGCTCGGGCTCTGGCCACGGCCGGAGGTCCTCGTAGCTGAGGCCAGTCTCGAGGCAGTCCTCCTGCCGAGCGCCAGCGGCAGGGGGGACCAGAGGCAGGGAGGGAGGGGGTGCGAGGGAGGGGGAGGGAGGAGGGAGGGCGGAGGGAGGAGGGGGGGATCGGAAGAGGAAGATGGGGAGGGGGGTCGGAGGAAGGGGGAGATGAGAGGGGGGATCGGAGGAGGGGCATCCGAGGAAGAGGAAGGAGGGAGAGGATTTGTGGATCGATGCATCTGAAGTTTGTTGGTGTGCCCCCAGGCGGGCATACGTATGAGGAAATCGGAGGATGGATCGAGAATGTTTTTCTGGACGCTCTTTGCGATTTCTTCGACCCCCAGACCTCTGTAGACCCCCTCTTCCTCCTCCTTCTCCTCCTTCTCCTTCTCCTTCTCCTCCTCCTCCTCCTCCTGGCTCCTTCCCCTCTCCTCCTCCTCCTCCTCCTCCTCCTCCTCATAGTTCTATTCCTCCTCGTCTGTCTTCCTGCTACCCCCTCCTCCTCGGTTCTCCTGCTTCTGCCTTCCTTTCCTTTCCCCCTCCTCCTCCTCCGCCCTCCGATAGCGATAGGAGGGAGGTGCAGAGGAACGGCTGAGAGCGAACTGAGGGAGGAGGAGGAGGAGGAGGAGGAGGAGGGAGAAGGGGAGGAGCAGGAAGGGGGGAGGGATAATGATAGTGAGGACGAAGGGGAGCCGTGGGGTGGGTGGAGGAGAGGAGATTCGGAGGGCGGCGGCTCGGGGTGGATCATCAGGATCTGGATGAAGGATGCTCGGAGGCCCGAGAGGTGGAGGATCGGGAACGGATGGGGATCAGGATCAGTAGAGGCCTCCTAGGTGGGGTCGGAGAAGATGGAGTCGGAGGATCGCGCCGCATCGCTGATGCATCGGCGATGCATCGGCGATGCATCGGCAATGCATTGGCGATGCACTGGCCATGTATCGTCGACGTCGGCGATGCATCGGCGACGTCGGCGCGGAGGAAATCGGGCTCAACATCGAGCCGCATCGCCGATGCATCGGCGATGCGGCGCGAACCTCCGACCACATCTGCTCGGACCCCATCTGAGAGGCCTATAATCAGGGCGGGGGAGGTTCGGAGGTTTGGAGAGGAAATATGAGGGGGACGAGGAAGAAGGGGGCGACGGTGGCAATGGAAACCGGAGGCGGAGGTTGGGGGGGGGAGTGGGACGAGCAGGGACAGAATGACGAAATAATGCAGCGAACGGGTTCGTAATAAAAACGCGCGCCCCGGGGAGAAAAAGACGAAACAACAGATGGGTGGGCAATGCACAGGCCGCCACTGGAAGAACGAGGGCACCGCCGGTGAAAGAAGGCCAACCACACACAATTCACGCGTGTAGCTGTGAAAGGACATGCGCTACGACCTGCAGTGGGGCCTGCATCAGGACCTGAGCTGGGAGCTGAAATGCGAACTCCAGGGGCTGTGATACGAGCCGGAAGCCGAACTCAATAATCATAACATTGTCGCCTTTACGATCAGAGACGTCCACATCCGCCCATTACGCCCCAAACACTGCTCCGAGACGGTCCTCGAGGCTCACAAGAAACCCCCTATATGCCCCTGAGACGTCTCCCAAGAGAGCGGTCCCACCAGACGGCTGTAAGCATCTCCGCCAAGATGGATCCAAAGCCCCCCCGAGTCCCTCGAGCGACCCCGCAAGATGCCTCGAAGAGGCTTCCAGGAAGCCCCACACGAGGCCCCGACTAGGTCGCGGCCTGGGCAAAGGTTTGATGAAGGTGCAATGAGGCCGACGCCTTCGCTCTGCCCAGAGACGCCTCGAGCTGGCCGAGCCTCTTTTCATCGCGGGTCCAGATGTTGCGCGGGGTGACCCTGCCTTTCTCGTGGAAAACGGCTGCTGGCCGATCGAACTTGCAGCCCCGTTCGCTCTGGTTTCTGCCCGACAACGCGTTGGCGACGATTGCGGCTTCATTCGCGAAGTGCGAGAAGCTCATGGTCTGACCCCAAGATCGCAAGTATGCCGAGATGGTGCGCATCCCCAAGGAGACCGGATCAAACTCATCATGCGCCCATGAACACACGTGTAACGCCCTCTCTCACTCGAACGGGCTGCTCGGCATCCGGGCGAGATGATTCGGGGCACTCGGAACACCTCTCGTCGTCCTCGGCTTCGACGTTTCCCCCGCAACGCGACGGCGGAGGTCGCGCGCCTTCTTGGGGAACATTTAATCTCGGACATGCTATGTCTATACGTTTTGACGCAATGATGCTGAGCCAACTCTCCGAGGAAGCAAGAGCCGTCGAATACCCTTTTCCACTAGTGTGGCCATGAGTCTCTTGTTGTTGCATGCTCGGGGCGATGAAGGCCTGCTGAAGCGTCAGCGGGGGGTGTTGGTACAGCAGGGTGTCATGCGACAGCGCTGTTTGCGGCGCTGACGCACAAGACGCTGCTGCAGGTCAAGCGGTCGATAGGTCAGCGTGGCCTCGAGCACTGGTCAGATTGCAGTGGATTGCCGATCAAGTTGCGAGGGCCAGGGAGTGGCGCTGGCGACGCAAAGCTTCATACAAGAATGCAACAAACTGAAGCTCACAATTCGGCCCAACACGTCGGGCTTTCCAACACAGTCTGACCGTGAACTCGCCTGCCGCGGATCAAACCCAAGAGAGGCATTGAACATCTAACAACCTGGAGAGCGACCTATGTTCCAGCACATTGAAGCTGTCAACGGCAACGGCCAGGCTGGACATGCTGCGGCCAGGCTGCCGAGGGCCATGATGCTCCAGAAGACGGCGGGCAAGGAGGTGCAAGCGCTGTGGCGAACGGACCTGGCCACCTCGGCCGTGCATGGGGCCAATATCTCGGGAGTTACTGATCCCGACTTGCGCGATCTGAGAAAGACGGCCGCCACTGTGTGCGGGGCCGAGTCGGGTGGCATCAGCAACGCGCTGCACCCGGCCACGCAGAAGGACGGGGTGATCGACCCGATCTTCGAGGCCGCGGCCAGCATCGCCCACGAGCACGCCAGCTTCGCGTGGAACCAGCGGCTTGAGACGGGCGGGCTGAAGAGGGCTTGGCGCGTCCTGCAGGCGAAGCAATCCTGCCTTCCGCCCACCTGGCAGGGAGTGCGTTGGTTCTGTGGCCGCTATGTGGCTCAGCCTCAAGCGCGTGGGCCAGGATATGGCGAGCAGTGCGGCAATCGCCAGCGACGCGGGCCATTGCTTTTTCGTCAAGGAGGATCGCCCTGGGGGATGTCGAGAGCCTCGGCCAGGCGGCAGTGCAGCGCTGGTAAGGAGGGCAGGTAGACACTGGGGGCACCTCCCGTGGGCGAAAAACAAATCAATATCCCTGGCCTCGCGGGCCGGGCCCCTGGGCCGACTATCTGTCCACGGGATCGCGCCCCAGAATCCAGACCGCGAGGGCGCGGCTTCGAGCATGTTCGCCGCTCCCGACACTGCACGTTTTCCCCCGGGGCCGGAGGCGACCCGAGGAGGAGGAGGAGGAGGAGGAGGAGGAGGAGGAGGAGGAGGAGGAGGAGGAGGAGGAGGAGGAGGAGGAGGAGGAGGAGGATGAGGGGAGGAGGAGGAGAGGAGGATGAGGATGGAGGAAGAAGGGGGAGGGGGAGGAGGGAGGGAGGGGAGGAGGAGGAGGAGGAGGAGGAGGAGGGAGGAGGAGGAGGAGGAGGAGGAGGAGGAGGAGGAGGAGGAGGAGGAGGAGGAGGAGGATGAGGATGAGGAGGAGGAGGAGGAGGAGGAGGAGGAGGGAGGAGGAGGGAGGTCGGTCCGCCTAAGCCCTTCGGAGGAACCCTCCACCAGAACCTTGCCGAGCCCTGCGAGGGCGGCGGGGCCATCTGGATCAGGGCCCTGCCTCTGCTCGTGGGCCTGCCCGGCGCTGCGGTCTCGTGTCCGCAGCGGGCGGGAGCTTTGAGCAGACTGAGGTCTGGCGGCTTTGTGACGGTACCCGCGAGGTCTTCCAGGAAGTTTTTTTTGTTACCTTGCAATGTTTTGGAGGAGAAGGATGAAAACTGAGGGGACGAAGCGGACAAACAGATGACCACGCGAGCCGTGAAAACAGGCACCAGGGCAAGCTGAGGAAGCACCCGTACAAACTTTTGTCCTCATCCAGACTGTTTCGCCATTCGACTAGAACAGATCATCGGACACCCTTTGTGTGCATGTCCGTCAGTGCTGGAGCTCAGCATGGCGAAGGGATTGCCTCAGAGGGGCGAGGACCTGGAGGGGATGCGGAATGCGCGGGGGGAGCGTGCACAATTGGCGTTCGGCTTGGAGTGCTGGGATCTCCTGAGGTTCTCGATCGGGATCCCGAGGCAGCTGGGCAATCTTTCTCAGGTGCTGAATTCGCAGCACATGTGGCGATTGAACTTCGCGCTCCACCAGCTAGCCCCGTGAGATGATTTCACAGACGGATCTGGAACGCACAGTGCCTCGATCGAGCTCCGATTACGTGGGTGGGGGTGGGCAGTGATTCGTTTCAGAGCGCTGACAGACGTCTAGCTGGCGTTTCTATGCCTTGCATCATTGTGTCCTCCCCCCCGCCCTTTCTCGTTCTGCTCTTCTCTCCTCTCTCCCTCTCCCTCTCCCTCCTCTTCCTCCTTCCTCCTCCTCCTCCTCCTCTGTTTTTTTCTGATGGCCCATCCCCTGCCTCGGGTGGAGCAGGGCGAACAGCTTGTAATGAACGGGGCGCGAGGGAGGAGGAGGACGAGGATTAGGAGAAACTGATCGCCAGTCTGGCTTGCTGAATGTGCACGTGGTCTTATGGACGAGTCATATTGAACCTGATCGGGCGCACGTGAGGTAATTATTCAATTTAGATTTAGCTTGCAACCTAAATTTGTGACCACGGCTATGATTCACCAAGCCGTTGCCAACCGTCAACGATGACATGTTCCGCAGAGCCGTCGGGTCGGTATCTTTGTTACTCATGTCGTCGCGGTCATTGACTCATACCTTGGCTCATTCTTCCTTTTCTTTTCGCGCAGCTCAAAGCCATGCGTGGCTCAGCCGAATGTGACAACCCAAAGGTGGGAGTGTCCGAACCATAGAGGTCATGTATATACCCGATGCGCGCTGCTCGGGCGAGTGCTCCGTCCTGGAACAACGTCATTGCGACATCATGGAAGAAACCGGTCACGGTTGAGACCTGAGAGGCCCTGCCGTCGGGCGTCCGTCCAGTGAGGCCTCGACGATCCGTGCAGACGCCGAGCTCGCGTCTTCATGACGACCACGGTCACAATTCACCTCTATATTGGAAGCACGGAGCTGGCGCCCTCGATGCAAGGGAAAACTAAGGTGCGGTTCGCAAGAAAACAAGCTTTGATGTTGAACGCCTTCTTCTTACGCACCACAAGGTCCTGATGAATCTGGTGGGGCATGAGCCCTCTGGCGAAAAGTATGCCTAAATTAATGCGAAGTGTGGCAAGCAATAGAGATTCACTCGCATTGTCTGGGAGACTCCTGCCTGCTATCACATCAATGGAAGACCTGCAATCTCAACCAATTTCAAACCTGCCTCCCTCGCTTCCCCACTCATTCCCCTCAAATGTGGGAACCAATCCTTGAGCTTGTCGTAATAATCCAGTGCCTTGTCCAATTCTTCCTGGGTCAGCTTCAGCTCCTGCAGTAGAGGGGTTTTCGTCACTGTCACGCAGGTGCATGGGCGGCCCCACGTGAGAGTTGGAAGTGCGATCATGCGGACCAGGAAGGGGGGTAGAAGGGGGTGGGGGAAGATGACGGGGATAAGGGAAGACAGGGGAAAGATAGGGGGAGAACAACGGAGGGGCGTGGATGGGGGTGACGCGGCTAGACGAGGGGTCCTCCACAATTACACGATATGAATACTACTCTCCTCTCTCCCCTGATGACGTCCGGAAGATATCCGGCCCTCCTCTGCGTACTGTTTTTACACACAAGATTCCCGGGAATTGTGCTTTCGTTTGGTTTTGTTCCCTACCTAGGCTCTGCCTAGAAGGGTTCTTACTATTAGGCTTAAAGGGCCGGGCGGTGGAACCCGCCCCGGGCGGTTCCTCTGGCATCCGCCCCGCGGTTTCCCCAGTGACGTTCCCTTAGCTTCGCGTTGCTTATCTCATCTTAGCTTAGCTTATTTCATCTTACCTTAGCTTAGCTTCATCTTACCTCCGTTTTATCTTAGCTTAGCTTACCTTCATCTTAACTTCGCTGAGCTTTAGCATAGCATAGCAGAGCACAGCATAGCATAGCGCAGCATAGCATGGCATGGCATGGCATAGCAACTAATGCTGCTTTCCTAGGGGCTCCAACTTCTAGGTAGGGTCGCACTGGGGTAATTTCGAAATGTTGCTCCCGCTGAAGCACTGGCCTCATTTTCAGGCTTCCGCTCGTTACGAATCGTGCTCCAGCTGCAGTGCTGGCCTCATTTCCGCGATTCCACTCGTTCCGAATCGTGCTCCCGCTGCAGCGCTGGCCTCATCTCCGCGCTTCCCCTCGTCCCGAATCGTGCTCCCGCTGCAGCGCTGGCGTCATTATTTCCAGTGCCATGCCACGGTATGGTTTTCGGTTCTTCCAAATAGGTCCCAACATCGAAAAAATGAACTCCAGGAAAAACATCGGAGTGCTTACACATTCGGTGTCGATTCGTTGATATTCCGGGCCGCCAGAACCTCCCACTTTGGGACGTCGCCATGCCATACTATGTCATGCTACGCGTTGATCTTCAACACCATGCTATGTCATGTAACGCTATGCCATGCTACGACATCCGATTGTGCGAATAGAGAGGGGATCTACGTCATGGTAAGGGATGGGAGGGAGAGGTAGGACGTCAGATTTGACGCGAGCGCACCCAGCATGTCCTTTCCCCCCTCCTTCCTCCTCCCCTCATGTATCCTTCATTTCAGGGGAGGGAGGAGTGGAGGGGAAAGAGAAGGACGGAGGATGAGGAGGGAGAGGATGGAGAAGAGATGAAGAGAACGATGATTAGCTTGCACAGATTCGCAATTGGCTTCAAGACTGGTCCCATTGGTGAAACACATGGGATCAGGCTGAACGAATGGGGGTTGTCTGAACTACGGCCAAATTGTGGAGAAGTTAAATCATCCACGGATGTGCTCAGGCAAGCACCAGCTCAGGGATGAGGAGGACAAGAGATCAGGAGAAGGATGATTACTTAGCACAGAGACTCACAATTGGCTATCAGACTGGGCCCCCATTGGTATAAAACACCTGCGATATGGATGAACGCATGGGGATTGCCCGAACAGCGACTAAACATTGGATTCAACAAATAATCCGAGGACGTGTTCAGGCAAGCACCGGCTCAGGGACCTTACGTCCCCGGTCAGGGAGGAGGAGAGGGGACGGAGGACAAGGAGGGGGGGAGAGGCCTCGGACACACGACCGCCCTGGATCAGTCTCAGCACAAGGACGACAACCCGGTGCTCGCGAGCCTGTATCGCTGCCTATCGACCGCCTTCGAAATCGAGAGACTGGACCTGCCCTTCCACCTACCCCTGTCCCTCCGTGCTCCCGTTCGGTTCTCTTCTTGAATGCTTCCCTCCCTCTCCCCTGACAAATGTTGCAGCGTGCTCCCGCATCTCTCGCGCAATGCACTTCTCTCAAACACAGGAGCTCACACACACTGCTATTTTACTTCTCGGAGGTTGGAGATGAGATCGAAGTGGAACGGAGGTCCCCCCACTGGAAAATCGGTTTCGGTTTCGGGTTCGTACCGCGCATGCGGGAGAGGCGAAAACTGCGTGGGCGAGCGAGAGGAATGACTCTGCCGTGGCTAGGGCGGGTCAAGACAAAAGACCACCCCTCAAGTGGGCCCGCGTGGCTGGAGGTGTCCCGCCGTGGTGTCCCGTCGATGTCCGTAGCTGCGGCCAAAGGTGTCTCGCCGGTGGTCCCGTCGGCGTCGTGTGGGTGTCCTGTTGGTGTCCCCTTGGTGTCCCGCCGTGGGTGTCTTGTCGGTGTCCCGTTGGTCCATCGTTGGGTCCGTAGTGAGGTCGATAGGCATTTATTTTTCACCAGTGCCGAGGTCGATCGTGAGATCGAGTGAGATTAACAGTGAGATCGATAGTGAGATCGATAGAGTGAGACCGCTAGGGCGAGATCGATTGAGTGAGATCGGTAGAGTGAGATCGATCGAGTTAGATCGATTGAGTGAGATCGATCGAGTGAGATCTATCGTGATATCGATATGGAGGTCGATAGTGAGGGTGGTAGTGAGATCGATTGCGAGACCGGTGGTGAGATCAATTGGGTAAGACGTTGGTTCCGTCCCCCCCCCCACAACCTCCTTATCACCCGAATGGTGGTCGTATAGGTGTTTTACATTGTTTTTCGATCGGAGTGTTCTCGGTCCTTCAAAAATGGTGCTCTTCAAACCTGGTGCTCCTGCTGCGGCGTTGGCCACGTTTCGGGATCGATGCTTTGCTTCAATCGTTCAGAACAGCGCTTTGGCCCAAACGCGAATCACATTTCAGGGTCCGAGTCGGTCCTCGTCGTTTCTGCCTCCCTCCTTTCCCCTCCTCCGCCTCCCCCTGCGTATCTAGCTCCTTCTGCTCCTGCTGCTCCTGGTGCTCCTCCTCCTCTAGCTCCAGCTCCAGCTCCTCGTCCTTCCTCATGCTCCTCTACTCTGCCTCTTGCTCATGCGCCTCCTGCTCCTTTCACTCCTCCTCCTCCTCCTCCTCAATAATTACAAAGGCCTCCCTTTCCCATTGCGCAATAAACGATGGGCCAATTCCTGCAACTTCAATTTGGGCCTTTTGGTCAGTAAGGTCCTCTAGGACTCCCCAGTCGGCGGATAGAACATAATTCGTCGCAGCGACAAGAGATGGTTGGGAGCGACAGATCTGGCGCGAACGCACCAATCGCGCCTTCTCTCCTCGTCGTCGCTCTCCTCCTTTCCCAACTCGCGCTCGCTCCCCGTCCTCCTCGCCGGCCTCCTTGCCTTCTCCCACGTCCGTTCCCTTCGTCTTCTCCAGAGGGCCCTTGGAGGTCCCTGAAGGCGTCTGGAGACTTCCAAAGACAAGCAACAATCCACACACCGCGACCCTCATCCTCCCCCTCCCCCTCCCCCTCCCCCACCTGCTTCTTCTCCTCCTCCTCCTCCTCCTCCTCCTCCTCCTCCCACTAGTGCAGCACCCGCGCAGCGTCCTGGGGGAACTTGAGGCTGCGTAAATCCGCCCTTGACAGGTGGTGGTGGGTGCTGTTCGCTAAACGCCTAGGGTCCTGTCCGCCCCATGGTCAGTCTCAGCACTCGGGTCACCTCGCACCACATCTTGGTCGTGGGAGGCTCATGGATGCGTGCCACCTGGCCCCAACGGGGACCTCTGGGGGTGGTTCTGGACACCGCTAAGTCTCGCGCCAGGTGACCCGCCTGTGCGGCCGAGGGTGCTTGAGGGTCCCGACCTGCAGAGGCAGGCGGAGGCTTGGGTCGGGGCTCGGCGCCTCGTCATCTGAGTGAGGCTGGCCTGCGCGTAGCCGCCTCCAGTTTTCCCTCACGAGGTTTTCGATTGCCTCGCAGCTCACGGCGGGCAAATACTAAGACCCCTCGGGACCCGAGGGGCGCAAAGCGGAAGCAAAACGCAAAGCGGCGCAACTCACCACCCGGTGGTGAGTTGCGCCGCTTTGCGTTTTGGGGCAGCTGGTTTCGTTGAGGCGCGGGTGGCGCCGCGCGGACGCCGGGGCGGCGAGCAGGAGGCCTGTCAGATCGCCGTCCCCAGTTCTCGACAGCACAGCGCGCGCCACCACAGAGTCCAAAAGAGTTCTCTTCCCCCTCGTCCTCAGTGGCCATTTCGGCTCAAGACTTTGGGCGCGAGCCTGCCGCGGGCTCCCCCAACGCTTTGTGCACCTGGCTCCGGCCATGGCCCTGGCGCCGCTGCTGGTCGCGCAGACGATTTTGGAGCAATATTTTTTTGGGGTGCTCCGCAATCTCTCCTGCACTGCAAGGCCATGGGCGCCCTGATCTCGGCGGGCGCGAAAGGGACAACACGAGGATTTCAGGGACATCAAGGGGCAGCTTTGGAGGCGCATGCGCTCAGCGTCTCATCTTCGTTGGCGCACTTGGAGGCGGTCCTCTTCGAGGCGCAGACAGCAATGGGCCTTCCAGCCAAGGCCAACGTTTCGGAGGCCAAGCGGCAGTGGCGCCTGGCTGGGGCACCTGGCTTGGCTCCCAGTCTTGGAAGCTCAGCAACGCCAGGAACGTCGATGGCTACCCTGATAGTGCCCTCCAGCAGGGAGTGAGCGCGGCGCTCAGCGTAGCGCAGACGGACAGAGCCGACCTCCACTCTGACAACACCTACGCCAGCAATGATAACGGCTCGAAATCGGACTCAAAGGCCCGACAACTGGAGCAGTACCCGTCTTTCGAGCAATGGCTTCACCTCGATTTTGCATCTAGGCGAGAACTGTGCTCGCAATCGGGCGATATGACCCTGATCTTCAAGGCTCTGCGCAACCTGGACGAGAAGATCGAACTGATGTCCGCAAACGTTGTTCACAAGATCGTGCACCCCTGTGTCCTCGAGTAGCTTGGCGTCAAGCAGCGCGGCATGAAGTCAGACCTTGCATGCGCAGCGGTGACAGGAAGACACGCAGGACAAATTGGCCCCGTCCCGTGGCCAACTGCGAACACAA